TTTATTTATCCAAAAATTTGTAAATAAATATGTAATTCACACGTTTCAAGTTTGGAAATTGGGATGCTTTGAAACTGAAAGATACCGACCTTAGGTTTTAATATTTCAAAGGCGATAAGTATTTTGTTAGGTCTCGATATGTGTTACAAATTTTTCATCATAGATGGTAGCCTTAAACATGTAAAAGCTATATTTCGTATCGCATAGCAAGATATACATAAATATTTATTTTGTAATGAATCACAAAATATATTTTACATATTAAGAACGGAAAATGAACTCTTCGTTGATTTGCGTAGGCATGAACATGTTTCATGAAGTTTCCTTCAATATTATTTGAATTACGGTGCATAAAAAATATTGACTAACATACTTTTTGCTTTAAAAGTGAAATACATATTAGGTTTTTTTGAGAGAGCACGCTTATGCTATTAAAATGATATTCCTTCCCCAATATTATTTCTAATCCCTCAATTATGGAAAATAATACTAAAAATGAAACTCTACACGTTGTCTAATTGGAAATAGAAAGTATAAATATATATATATATATATATATAAAAGTTAATTTGGCCATTTAAGATTTCGAAAAAGTACCGGGCTTACGATGTTTTTGCAATGACCGATTCAATCTAATCGACCAAAGACTGTGTACTCCAAATTATTGTTTTTCATAGGCTACTTAGCTTCTAGGCAGACTTTAGAATAAACATTGCAGAGCAGTAAAGATTCAAGCTTTTTTCAAGTTGTTACACTGCTGTTATATAATCCAATTTTTACGGAAATTCCAGTTCAAAGTGGACCGCCAGCTAGGCCGCTAACAGGAGTTAGATCAACAATGAAGCTTCTAGAGAGCACTGGGGAGGTGAGTTATCAACTACTGTCTAATTTAAAAACATCGTTGGAATACTGTTGACTCCGTCATCATAATAACTTTCTTAATAATGCTCTCAATAGGCGACAATTTCTGTTTGTCATCTTTAGCTTTCTTAGAAATCTTGTAAGGTCGTAAACTCAACGGCAAGCTAACATAGTAATTGATATACTGGAAATGATTAGTTTTATACAAAATACATATAAGTAATTAACACAAACGAAAACAAAAAACTAATAGCTAGACACCTGTTGCAAATAGACGACAACAGTTACCACCACTTTCCAGGTCTGCTAGACTGATTTTCGAAGATTTTTCACATAACAAATACATTTACGTGATTTTTCAACAATAGGTGGATAGGATGAATCTTATTGGTAAATATGATATTGATCACTTGGTCTGTCAGAGGTAAAGTCAGGAATTCGCGTGGCGTATAGGGTGCACTATTACAAAAATCCAACGAAGGTATTTTCATATATCTCGTAATATATGCACTGTCCCTGTAAAATTGAGGAACTAATTCATTTCAGTTATGACTTGGAAAATTACCATCTGCAATCGATCATTCAATGATCGGAAAACAGTTCTGAATAGAACCCTGCCCAATTTCTCAGTTTTCGATTATGTGCATACTGCATGATGTCTCATAAAATTTCCTCTAAAATGTGCATTGACAAGAACATTAGTACTCGACAGTACTCAGACAGTGCAAAGCCCTATCTACCACCAAAATCGACCACAGCGGTAGTGCAGAGCAGCTATTTGTTGGAACCGTAAAGATCTCAGTTCGCCTTTAGTAGCCCGGTCACCATGGCTTACACCATACCGATGAGTAGCCAAAAAGCATGAAACATCTATCCATGGTTGGCTGTCTTTTGGTCTGGCGGTTGAAAACAACCATGTTCACTGTACTACTCCTCAAACCATCTAGTCGTAACTGATTATTGAACAAATTAGCTCCAGCGATGCGAAGTACCTATGTTGATCTTGCTCCGATCTGGTGCGTAGTATAAGTAACACACAACACAACATGCATGTCTCGGAATTAACTTCCGATCCGGGGATTCCACCCGCGAGCCTCAGGTCGAGTGACTATTAGCGCGACTCGCTAACCTCTGGCCTACCCAAGCTTCATTCAGGGGAAGGACTTCGGCGCGTGACAATGTCACTCGACATTGCTTCCAAATCTGTCCAAGGAATATATCACCAGACTCTCCTGTAGTCCTGCAAAGCAACGGCGGTACTCCGATATCCAGACTTAGAATAGAATGAAAAAATAGTCTTAAGTAAAGAATACAATCATTCCTTCTAAGAAAACATTTATCAGTAGTTCTATAAACCTGCTAGACGCTTAATATTTTTATCCTTTAGATGTCCTTGTTGAACCCTGATAACCTGAACAACACCAAGAAGGCCCAGCAGCAGATCGTGTTCTTCAACCGGGTGCCCAAAGTAGGATCGCAGACTCTGATGGAACTGATACGTCGACTTAGCATCCGCAACGACTTTGGCTTTCACCAGGACAGAGTTCAAAGGGTGGAGACCATCAGGTTGTCGCCTGACGATCAGGCTTCCCTTGGAGCGATGGTGTCCAGCTATGAACCACCGGGAGTTTACATCAAACATGTCTGCTTCACCAACATTTCTGAGTAGGTAGACATTTTACCGATTCTGCTGTTTCACTTCGCCTCAGTGGGCCTGCATCTTAAAAGTATTTGGTCTTGATACCATATCCTACTAGCGTCATACTGGGTTGCTATCAAGCTTATATATAACACATATAATACCCGTTTGGAAAACTTTCCATTTGAGCACAACTATTAATAAAAATGTAAAAGAAATTAATTTTGTATTTTGTTTTGGTGCTGTAATCAATTAAAAGACCCATAATTGGATGACAGTTAACAAAAACGCTTAAGTCTCCTCTTTCTCTTCGAAAAACTGATTTTTTTCTCTGTTCTTTCTGACCTCTACGATCTACCTGTGAGGTAACATCATTAGCTTCATGATATGATCCTATTATGGTGCAATATAGTGAGCTAGGGCCATAAATATTTTTTCTTTCAGGTTTGGATTCCCAGAGCCTATATACATCAACCTAGTGAGAGATCCTATAGAGAGAGTCATATCTTGGTATTATTACGTTCGAGCTCCATGGTACTATGTCGAGAGAAAAATCGCTTTTCCAGATATTCCATTGCCGGATCCAAAATGGTTGAAAAAGGTATGTGAATTACTACTTTGGCAGTATTTTCGGATAAGCTCAAAGGAAATAATAGTATCAGATTCAAAAAGTGCTGTATCTCTTTATGTATTACATTCTTCTTGTGGTGCCGGCTTCTTCATATTTTTTTTATGCTGAAGCAACCGCTTAAAGCTAAAAGTTAATCCGATTTTTGAGCTGTCCAAGGCTAGTAGATCTGGGAGAGGCCTCTTCAAGAATATTGTTCCATAATCTCGACATTAAATACCATCCAGTTCTTGATGTGCAAAGTTCAATACGATTAGAGTGGAAGGCGAGAGTCAGCAGGCGGGTCTGTCTGGCAGGATCATCGCGCGGCGACATCACCAAAGAGAGCTCTGTCGTCAAAAAAACCTATAAAATGTCATCATGCAGACTATACCCTATTTCACGAGTATATATCACGCTTTGACGTCTACTGAGGTAAACAGCTGGTCAGCCAGTGACATTTTTGTGTTAGTCTGCAACGTTGGCAATAATGAATCGGGGATAAATCTAGTAAAACTTGTTTGTGGCTTTTTGCTTTTTGTATGCAAATGACCTTTTCTAAATAAAAGAGCTATTGACAAGTACAAAATGAATCTGTGGCGTACAAAAAAATTAAGTGTTGAGTCGATATGGGGAATTTTCAAGAATTACTAGATTACTAGCTGTCATTAAACCGTTTTAGGGTGCAAACAGTCATTTCACGTTTGGTCACTAGGATCGTTGTGAGCGTACATCCATGGAGGAACGGCTCAACTACACGCATTGTTGGGCATATGTTTTGTGAAGCCGAGTAGTTTTCATCTCTGAGAAGAAAGTTGGTTGAATAGCAAGATCGCATCTGGATGATTATGTCTATTGGTCAGGACGTGTATAAAATCCGTGATATTTGCTGTGTGAGAAAACCATTTCTGAATATGCTGCCAATGAAGTATATCCATTAGCTGTCTTAGACGGGTTATTTATATGTTGTCCTTTCTGGAGACAAGTTATGTTCAAAGTTATAAATTACGATTTTTTTGCGTTTTCAAAAACTTTGAGGACAATCACGGGAAATCACTACCGCTCCCGCGTTGTGTGTAATTACTGTTAGCATCTATATGACTTCTAATTCGAGGGTGTACAGTGAATATAATTATTTCTTATCCCTCTCATTTTTGAAATTCAGCAAATTTGCATATGAAATTTTCAGAATGGATAAGAAAAAATGGATGAGCAACTAGATTCTAGCTTTGAATCTCAAGTAAGTGTATTTGAGACAAGAATCCAATGGAATTATCATCAACAAGTGTTATCAGCACACATGTCTTCACTATGCTCCTATGCATTGCCGTTACCTCCAGTAATGCCATCTCTGAAGCAGATTTTACGTCACATCAGAGCCAAACATTGATAACTGAACCCTCATGACATTTAGGCAACACGTATAACTACAAAACGAGCTCACAACGTGTCCATCAGCTACTACTAAGTTAATATCTTGTAGAAAAACCTACATAATGTCACAACAAAAAAAAATATAATATCAAAAAAAATCGACATAATGTCACGTTTCAAGATACATATTACCCGTGCGGGTCTTGAGGGTCTTCTGCCCGGAACCCCTTTTCCTTCAGTCTTACCTTCCATTATTAATCTCAGAAATCGATATATTGTACATCTATCTACATGCTCTAAATAACTACATTTTTGATCTTCTGTGCTGCCCTGTTGATATCCATCCTTCTCCAAAGTGTTTCATTAGATGATGTTGTACGGACGCTGGATAACAAACACGAATCAAGATACTACGTTTATATTTCAGTAGGTCAGAGGTAACCAGTCGTAAGTCCATTTTGACCCCACTTTGAGGTATTATAGTAATATTGCGTCAAACTTAAAATAGCAACTAAAACACACTATTTTGTGAAGCATCACTTTATTGATGTTAAGATTTTCCATTTTGAAGATGCAATATGTCCATTGAAGCTGTCTTGAAATTTTCGCTTGTTTTATCCATTACTCGAAACTTCGTTTTTTGTTTATCCAGTGCCCTGAATAAACATGCAACTATTACTTTGATTACATCTACTACGAAGATATTCTAAATTCTCTGCCGGCATACCTTCCCTGAAACCAAGTTTGTATTTTTCGGTCCACATAAACATCTAAATATATCCCGAATAGCATCATTCAGCTAAAAAGTGAAAATCAAAGTGCTAAAATCGAAACCATACGACTGATGAGTTTATTTTGGAAATTGAAACAGCCTCTATCCTGACATAAAACAGAATTTCCGATATATTGGCCATGCTAATTTTGACGGTTGTTTTGATGTGGTGGTATTTAAATTACATACGAAAATAGCCTAAAATAGATTGGAGAAGTGCCATCGGACATGAACGTGAAGATGAATGATGCTCAATTAAGTTTAGCAAACGATTTCTGGGAAGGGCACTCAAGTGTATGCGTTTCTTATCTTCTTAATGGTGTAGTTGCAGCATTTTATGCATTTTTTACGTATGGCTAAACGTTTTCTTCAGTTGGGCTGGTTTCTAGTTAAGCTCAGGTAATTTGAAACGTCGAAACGGCGATCGTCAAGAAATCGTAGAGCCCAGTGCAGAAAATGGAACCCTGTCCCCTTCTCTTGTGAGTCTTGGCTTGACGTAAAAAAATGATATTTACATCAAATTCGGAAGCTACGCAATAGGGTTGACATCCAAGCGGCTTTAGTCGGATATGTTTGGTTTTTTTTATTAAATTTTTTATGGCTCCGGTTTTTGGTCTGCGCGATATTCACATAATTGCGCAGCGCCTGCAATGTGAGGCGGTGGGTGCGTCCGTATTCGTACCGCGTACAGTTTTTTATTATCGGAGTTGTGTCAATTTTAAAAATGTATTGTCGGTCAATAGGCGGATTCAGAAGGGTCATGGAAATCGAGATCAAACAGCCAACACCACCCCCGTTCTTCAATTGTCACAAGAGCAGTCGAAATGGCTCGGTCATCCGCATTCGGTCACACAAGTATAGTGGACGACAAAGATATTGTGTCTGCTAACATTTTTTTTTCTCTTTTTGATGGTACTGACACGGATGTAATATGGTCATTATATGATATAAATAAATAAAATAATGATGACAGCTGGTCCATTCAAAAGCAAACTAACCTAATAAATAAAGGTTTGCAAACAAAGTGAATTACAAAGTAAAAATATATCCTTTCCTGTTTCAACTAGTTCTTTTCTATGTTAAGTAGAGCAAACGTTAAAAAGAAGATTCGTAACCAGTACTGAATTAATAAACAGCAATTGCAGTTTGCAGAGTTTTTCTGCGTTCGTTGGCTAAAGCCATTTTTGCTGCTTCTTGTACAATATGCAGGTTTCTTAAGATACTCTCACTGTATATGCTACTACAGGGAAACAACAGACGTACTTTGACAAACCTTGCCCAAATTGCTTATAAGGCATGTTCCAATAATTTTCTGGCGATTGTGAGTGGCTGAAAACAGTCCATTTCAGTTTGACACATGGACTTGAATGCTACTTTTATAACAATTCGTTTGGTCAACTAAATTTCCAAATCATTACAAGAACATGGCTATTGCTTACAGTTGACTATCCACCATGCATATGGATAATCATTTCGTCATTTAATTCAAAGATAAATATCAAGTTCTTTAGCTTCCGCTACCTCGTTGAAACAAGTTCATAAAGTTTTGTGAGTTTCTTACTAGGTGGAGGCGCACCTTTTCCACTGCTGGAATAATCCACACTATGAGGAAAATGCAAATATGAGACTTTTGGAGCGTGTCGGCTAACCGGCATTCGGATATCGGGTATTCGGTTATCCGACCAATTCACGATCCGCTTCAACCCTACTAGTTAGAGTTTTCGGAACCGGGTACCAGGGTCAGGTATACCTGGGTATCCAAGAGTTTTCGGATCTGGGTAATACTTGACAAAAATCCCGGGTGCCAGGATATTAATAAAATTAGGAAATGTTATTTTTCGGTATTCCAAGCTACTGTTGTCTTAGAGAAAACTTCTTTTTTGTTGAGAATTAGAAAAACCTAGAAGAACGTTGTCCGTTCAAAAAAGAACAGTTTTTGCAATTTGTTTATAAATATTGTACCAACAATTTTTCACACTATTTTGAGCCTGGCAACATTCAGATTCGTTACGAGAATTTCCTTGTCGCAAGACGTTTCTATTATTCTACTTTCGACGGTGACATTTATTTTCCCTGCCCGTCCTTATCTTAACAATTCCTCCATCAGCTTCAATCTCACCTAACCATCTTCCAGGACTTCGAACATTGCGTGCTGACAGGCGACAGGGAATGCCGGTACGTCCAGGGTGAGATCAGGGAAGGTATTGGAGACCACCGACGCCAATCCATGTTCTTCTGCGGCCACCACCCCGATTGTCTGCCCTTCAACACAGAGGGCGCCCTTGAAAGGGCCAAAATGGCGGTGGAGAGGCACTACGCTGTCGTGGGGGTTTTAGAAGATATGAACACCACGTTAACTGTGCTGGAGAATTACATACCGAGATTTTTTGAGGGATCTTCGGATGTCTATTGGAGTAAGTATGTTTGTGAAAAAACAATGACAGGAAAATCTGGGTGACTAAACGAGATACGAGTACAAAAATCTTGAAGTTGCAAACCCAAGCCAAAGAAATATTTAAACCAGAAAGCAAGTTTGTTCATGGTCATGATCAACTACAATATCATCTAAAATCAGCTTACAACCTCAAGATAATAGTATTCTGACAACAAACTGATTGAAAGCTCTTTCTTAAAGTCATTTAACATGTACTATTCATCATTTGTTTGTCTATGCGGTCCGTAGGACTTTGCCCATTAGTCACTGTCTAATGTACGTTAGTCGAATCTGTCAGTACTGGTTGCCCAGAAACCAGACTATGTCAAGGAAAAAGAGAAAGGGAAAGAGAATAAAAATGGAGAAGAGCAAAGAAAAACAGAAGTGTTTAGTTTAAGAGGAGACACGGGTACACGGAATAATTTTGAGGTGAACTAAACAAATTTTGATTCGGTTTTGTTAGAGTGTAATTTTAAGTTTACTAAAAGTTCGCGCTAATTTTTGATTACAGTGCAAGCCGTGGCCTTGAATGTTTACGAACTTGCTCCACTGTGTAGTCCACTGAGTCGCGCAACAGAGGGTTGCTGTGCGATTCCGCTTGACTATAACGTCGCTGCGCCTGAAGTTTGACATGATACCTCAAGTAAGGAATGTCAAGGTCTCTGTGTAGTGTCTCGTTTGAGACATACCATGGAGCGTTGCAAATTGTTCGCAAAGTTCTACTTTGCAGTACTTGAAGACGTTGCATATGTGTCTTGGCAAGAAAACACCAAGCCGCACATGCATAAGTAATGGTTGGTCTAATAATCATTTTATATAGGCGAACTTTATTTATCAAACTCAATTTGGAGGATCTACATAACAAAGGATATGGTTGCCGAAACGCAATTTGGAATTTTGTTTTCAAGACTGATGTATGTTTCTGCCAGGTCATGCCTTTATCAAGGGTGACACGGAGGTACTTGGCAGAATTTGTTAATTGTACACGATTGCCGTCTAGAGACCTCTGCTGGAGTGCCGCGATGTTTTTTGGTACAATAAGTAGCCTGCGTTTTCGAATGATTAATTTTAATCAGCCACCGTTCAGCCCACTCTAGTACTTCTTCCACCGCACTCTGCAACCCGTCGTGAACGAGATCACCAGCGATTTAACAGTCGCAAGACCATTGCATGCAAGCTCTTGCAGAAGCAAGACGGCATTGTTTTGTCTACAAGACAATTGCACACCACCGGACAGGTTTAGAGACATTTGCATGCATTGCAGACAAACTTGCATGAAAAATCCATCTGATTGATTTTCATGCAGGACCCCGGCAGTTGCAAGAAAATGGCGGGAAGAATTATATATTTTGTCAGATCAACGTTTCTCTTGCTCTTGCTGACTGTGAAACAGGTAGGATTACAAATCTAAGCTAATTAGACAAATACCTGCTAACAGTGAATTTTGGCGCAGAATGGTCAGAAAGGCAACCATTTTGTGGTCATTGGTTTAGTTGACAGTCACTGTCATAACGAAGTCATATTCATTTAAACAGAGTAAGTAGTCTAGGACCTAGGATGTAGATACGAGGGCTGTTTGATAAGTCAGTGACTTTTTAAATTAAACAAATGTTTTTCGGCAAATTAACATAATCTCCTATCTCCTCGATACATTTAGTCCAGCGGTTTTCCAATTTCTTAATTCCTTCCGAATAGTAGTTTTTATCAAGACTCCCAAAATATGCGTTTGTTTCTATGATGACCTCTTCATTCGATCCAAATTTATTACCACCCAGCCATTTTTTCAGGTTTGGAAATAGTCGCTGGGGGCTAAATCTGGAGAATAGGCTGGATGGGGCAGCAGTTTGCAACTCAGTTCATGAATTTTTGCCATCGAGACTATACACGTGTGTACCCGTGCGTTGTCATGATGGAATTTTTTTCGCCAAATGCGGTCGTTTTTGCTTCAAAGCAACGCTGAATCTGTCTAACAGCTCTGAATAGTACTCTCACGTGATCTTTCTGCCCTTCTCAAGGTAATCGATGTAAATAGTACCGCGTGCATCCCAGAAAACTGTGGCCATAACCTTGATGGCTGACAGACCCACCTTGACCTTCTTTGGAGCACGCTCACCATGTGAAACCCACTGTCTTGATTGTTCTTTGGTTTCTGTTGTATTGTGATGAATCCATGTTTCGTCTACAGTTACAAAACGGCGCAAAAATTTGTTCGGATTGCGGCTGAACATCGCCAAACATTCCCTTGAAATGATCACACGGTTCCGCTTATGGTCGACTATGAGCAATCACGGCACCCATCTCGCGGATAGTTTTTTCATGTTCAAGTAATCATGTAAAATGTGATGTACCCGCTCTGTAGAGATGCCTACAGCCTCAGCTACTTCACGTATTTTTATTCTCCGATCTTCCAATATCATCCCATGGATCTTATCTACGATTTCTGGTATGATAGCCTGTTTTGGGCGACCTGAACGTTCGGCATCACTTGTGCTGGTTCGAACACAAGGGAACTCAGTAAACCACTTCTTCACAATTAAAATAGATGGTGCAGAGTCCCCATAGTATTTGTCAAGCTTTAACTTGGTTGCAGTGTTGGTTTTTTACGCAAAAAAAATGTTTAATTAGAACACGAAATTCACTTTTCTCCATTTTTGTTAGAATTTATGAGACTGTCTACT